AATAATAGAAAATCCCGCCGGTTACTCGAGAAAGACACTCGCCGGTTGGCCTACGATCGGCAGGGCGAGTGGGAGGCCAAGGGGCGAGTAGTGCTCGGCACTCCAAGTCGGGTTTAATTTTCTGTATAATTCGCTAAACGACGCCGGATGACAGCGGAACTCATTATCCCCCTCGGTGTTATCGTGGTACCATTTTGAATTTAAAGGAAGATTACCCCGAGACAAGTTATCGAGAGAGCTGCGACGGAGCCGTCTCCGTCAGGGAAGAGTTCTGTGATCAACTCGGCCGGTGCTTTCAGGAATTTAATAATCCTTGATTTAGGCGACTCTCTCTCTCTCTCTCTCTCTCTTTTCATACAGCTCTGAACTTATAATGGTGATCGCCGAGTTATCAAACCCTTTTCAAAGACAGGCTGCATTATCGCGTTAAGATAAGATGAGATGATTACGCGAGACATATCACGTTCCTTGCTTGCTTTCTTCATTAGCGGATAAAATTGATTGTACAAATTCCCCGGATAAACTCGCCGGTTGGGAGAGGAATTCGCGAGGACGAATTGAAGCAAGTTCCCAGGGTCCTTCCCTCCGTTCGTTCGCGCCGTTCAATTGCGCGCACTCGATCCCGACGTCTCCGGCGATCGCCGGCGTAATGACCGTATTATTCCATCGCTGAAGAAACGCGAGACACTCTTCTCGCTCCTTAGCTGTTTTCCAGTCCGCTTAGACGTCTTTAACTACGCGCGATTTCCTCCGCTCGGCCGCAATTAGAGAAATACCCCCTTCGCTGCGGAGACGCTGCGGGCGTAACCTTCGCGGCGTCGTTCGCGGTGTCGCGGCACTTCACGCTATCCGGCTGGCTCACGTTCCTCTCATTCTCATCCGACAGCTGACGCCTTTAATTGTTTATAAAGCGCCAGCGAAGCCGTCCGAGTAAACGGGGTTGATTGAGTTTTGTGGGTTAATAGGCAGCGCCCTGTCGAGCCCGCTCTCCCAGCTGACCTACGAATCCACCCCCCCCCCCCCCCCCCNTCTCGACATTACACCCCTGACTGAAATCTTCATATATCCCGAGACTCGGTGGCCCGACTGTGAGTTTAACAGATTGAGACACGACGGCGAACCGACCTCTCCTCCTCCCGTTTCTTTTTGCCGTGGCTTTCCGTCCTTCCTCCGGACAGCTTGGCGAGGTCGATACTATTATACCATCGCACTCTACTTTCCTGCTCAGGGCTTCTTCGCCTTCCTTCCCTTTCTCACCTCGTGCCCACCTTCGAGGACAAAGGCCACTTACTTGGGCTTTTTCTCTTTGACCTACTGCTGCCACCGGCACGCAGATCCGTGATCCCTCGGCACGAAGCACGATAAGCGGCCCTGGGTGGCCCTTTTAAGCTTGACTTACGACGTACGGTGGTCATAGTTCGGTCCTTCTCCGCCGGTCGATCAAGCCGATCGATCGATTTTCGAAATCGAGCCCCTCGTCCCCTCGGTGATTTGTTTGTTGGGAAAAATGTCCGTCGGTCGCGTCGACCGCTCCTCGTTTTTCTTTCGCTTTTTTCTTTCCCTCGCTCTCTCTCTCTCTCTCTCTCTCTCTCTCTCTTTCTCGTAAGTTTGCAGTATTCTGAGCGGCAAACGGTTGAAAAATGGCATAATTCTTTCGAAGCAACAAAACCTTACACTTGAAAACGCAATTTATGGCTCTGCGCGCCGCGCAGGTATTTTTTATCGCTCGCCCCAACGTTCCCTCTTGTAAATTTCACAAAGCATCACAGGTACGAATGCGGACTCGTTTCACGCATCGCAGTGAGGTCCAATTTCTGGCGAGAACTATAGGCACGGAACTATGTACGCGCAGATAATGCGTTGCATATAGAGGCGTGATAAATAACAAACCGTGTTTCCGTCCAAAGTGAGAACGACTCAGCTCTATTTTCGTATAACGTCGAATTTCAGCCCCTACCTCTCTCTTTCTTCTTTTTCTCTCTCTTCTTTTCCTCGCCGTTTCTTCTTTTTATTTCTCTCTTCTTCGCCCCGCCCGTCTACTTTCGGTTCCGATCCGGTCCCGAGTGTCGTTTGGTGAGCGGCGGCCGCGGCAAAAGTTCGCGCGAACTGTGACATATTTGGAGCACTTCGCAGCTGCTTCGCGAAAATGGCGAAGGATTGTTAGTTATTCCGCAATACTTTCTGACGAGCGCAATCTGGCAGTGACTTGCAAGGTCGCTTAAAACATTACGCCTAATACGTTTCGGAGTCGCGACTCTCTACCCATATCAGTGGAACCTTGAGGGGCCTGTAAATAATTTTACGCTCCGTCATTTCTCCGTTTTAATTATCTGTTTAATTATCGTTTAATTATTCATCGTAATTATTCGCACGTAGAGAAGAGCGGATAGAATAAAATACATGAGAAATCCGTTAATGAAATCTAGCGAAACGACTACTTTAATTTAATAATCATAAATTTTTCTCCCTGCCCGGCTCCCCTCCCCCTCCTCCGGTATTTTTAGAATTTCCGTTCTTTATTACGATACGGTGGAAATTTAGGGAATACGCAACATGTAGTCATATTGCGGTTGATTTTATTGATTATCGTCTAATTAGGAAATCGGGCCGACTAAATATATTCGGGTATATATAATTCGACGGATTAATTCGTCATGCTACGGAATTATTTCGCCTCGTTGAATTAGATATCCTCTAATCGCGCGCGAAAGTGCGACAAATCCGTTTCTCGTTTATTAACGAGGGAGTCGCCAACGAACAAACGAACGGAGGGAAGACCCGGCGCGATCACGAGAAAGGTTTCTCTTCTCGGAGAAATAGATAATGCCGATTGATCGGCTACTTGTTGAAATAACGATGATTCCTTTTAGCGGGAGGGGCTATCAAGTTCTCGAATTCTCTCCCCGAAGCTACTTATAGAGCCCGTCTGTCCCAAATTATGCATGCCTCGTACACATGTCGCACTGACGGTCAATACACACACAGCGGAAACGGACGTGTGTCATCTATACCTGAAATGTGCTTCCTTATATATTTATAACCTCGCACGTGCACGAGACCATGTGAGTTCTTGCGAGTCCAATTGATCGATTGTTGCAATTTGTGACGCATTAGAGAGACGCATCGCACCGATCGCGAGGCTCCGCCCTCCCTTCTCCCCGTGTACGGAGGAAATATTGTGGCAAAAATTACCGCAATATTTTATAATGCCGGACCGTGTCGGAATGATGACTGAAATTACGACGTGTGTTGTGATCTCCTCAGTGATGCGTACACATAATGTGCGTCATTGCTAAAGATACACAACGTACATAATAATTTCACTCGTAACTCGTCCGGTATGGATGCAGCGTTGGAAAAAATGTTACGGTAATTTTCGCTACATTTTCTCCGCGTAAAATGTCCACCACCAGGCGGAAAGATCGAGGCTTGTTGCTTATCGCCTCTGCATGATGAGAAATTGACACACGCACACACGTAGTTTACGTATCGTAAGGCGTATTCCACCGGAGGTGGCAAGTTGCCATAAAGTAAGCGTTTGCGCGCATTCAATTTCCGCGCGATTCGCCGGCTTACATTCACATTCGAGGATTGCTTCTGAGTACATTTTAACGAATTCCCGTATGTTGTCCCCAACGTTGGAGACCGTAGAAGTAAGTTCGTAGTCACATTCCCCCCCCCCCCCCNGTATTTTGGTACGTTTGTAGAAGTAGGTAAAGGGTAGAACGGTGTAGCTGTGTGCATGCGGGACGAGATTTTGACGTATCTCGCGATTATCTCGAAGTTGCATTTTCAACCTCCCCGCCAGCGTTTTACGCTGGAGTTTCTCGACGCTGGAAATCGACGATGCGAATAAAGAAGAAATTTGAGACTCGATGTACACGCACACACACACACACACACAACGGGGTACACGTCGATATTTCGTAATGTTTCGCGTTCGGCCTGGCGTGAAACAAGAACAAGAGACATCGAGCGAGAACGACGGGGATATTTCCCTATTTCCGGATCGCAATCGGAACTCGGCGAAGCGCGGAATCCGCGAACTGTACAAAATTTGCCCGAATGCAACGGACTCGCCGCGATATAATGTAAACGGTCGCTAATGCCGTACAGCGGCAAATATTGGCTTAATTTCCGACAAAAAGTTCCGAATGTAATATTAACGTCGCGCGCACGGTAGAATACAATTTTCACAGAGCCGTGCTTTTTAAATCATAACTCATCGGCTAATTAATTTGAAACGCAAAACTGATATTTCGTAGTTCACACTCCGACTCGATCCTCGAATTAAGCCGGCGTTGCGGCGATGAAGAATGTCAAACCTCCGCAGGGAGTTCATTTATCCGACAGCGCAATTAAGGAGATTGTAAGGTGAAATGAGTTTGATAAGAACACTTATATACCTCTTTCTATTACCTGTCTCTGTATTAGATCAACTGATGTATAAATATAGCATTAATAAGAAAAATAGAAAATAATATTTTCGTATTTGAAATATCATGTACACATGTTTACCTCAACTTTATTTAAAATTAACATTCATTATTTATTATTTGGATAGCGAAATAAATGTATAGGAACGTAATTTTGCTTGGTGTACACGAAATTTATGAGTGGCCTCCTTGATGCGTCACTGAAAATACGACATTAGCCTTATAACCTCCCTTAATTAATGCGTTCGACCAGCAACGTTGATACACAGAGAAAAAAAGTTTCTTTAAATTTAGTATATATGTACGCTTGACTTGTACTGTTTGAGAAACCAAACGAAATTCTATGTGTTGAATCAAGCATTCGTTTGTTTGTTCTATTCCGAAAAAAGGAGAAATACAAATTTGTTTCAATAGAAGAAATTTGACAAAAGCCGAGGAAATCTTTTTCTCTGCGTACGATCGAATTCTCGCGGTAGCGTGACGAAAGCTTCGAGACGATCGCGCGAACGAAAGCGATACCGGTGGCCCCTGCCCTCATTAATCTGCATCTCTGATGCTGTTCAGGCAAGGTGGACGAGAAAGCGACGCAGCTGCACGCGATAGCGTCGCTGAAGGTGCTGCTGGACGCCACGAGGCCGCACAACGGCGCCGCGACGTCGACCGCGGCCCATTATTCCGGCGCGCCCTCGAAGGAGACGACGCTGCAGCTGCAGCAGGGCTCGCAAGGCACCACCACGACCACCACGACTACGACCACTACCGCCGGCACCACCGCCGGTATTCAGGAACTTCCGAACGGCGGTATTGCCGTCGGTATCGACGCTGGCCTCGAATCGGTAATTGTCGTTCACGAAGGAATATCCGCAATACTCGGTGCTGATGGACCCAATCGATGAGTTCCGTCTCATCGCGGAACCGGGACCACATCCAGTCGCACGACGTGTATCTCGCGAAAATTCTCCCCGAGAAGGCGTAATCGTAAACGTAACGTAGGATGTAAACTTAACTTAAATTGAAGAACCAATCGGGATATTGCTTTAGGTTTGTGCACTCTCAGAATAAGATGGAAGTGGTATTCCGCATGTAACTAGGGTTCACACCGAATAAATAGGACTGGTCAATTCCTAGTCATTTCTGCGAGAAACGTCGGAACGAGGCAGACTCAGATCGAACTCGGGTTTTCCGCTTGTCAGGCATTCGCTCTTACCGCACTGAGAGGAATTATAGTTATTTTCGGCCTCAACTATATTCTTCTTTCGGTTTTAAGACAAAAATAGTAATATGGTAAGATAGTAGTAGTCAAGTATTTTTCTCTCAGCGTTATTTGGACTCTACGTTAGCGACATCTTCCGCTTTCCCATTTAAGGCATTGGTATCGTGAAATCCATATTTCAATATTGAATTGGTACCTCGCCGGTCTCCGGTACCGGCCGAATTCCACACCATTCCTACATGGTTCGCGCTGTATTCCCGCGGGCTCAAGTATTTCCACGATTTCGTGGATGCAGCGAGGAAGAGCGTGGCGAGGGTTCTCAAACGCAAATTCCCGTTGTTATTGTCACAAAGTCGGTCGATAGGTCGTCTCCATGGAAATTAGAAGTGACCGCGCATCGTTCGCGGGGATTCGGAGATCTGGGCGTTTGACGGTGTGTAAGAATCTCACGGAACCGTGATTCGTTAGACATTCACGCCTCCGGCGTGAGAGAGAATTGGAATAGTTGGGGCGTGTTTGCCGTGTTGTCGTAAAAACAAAAGGGAGGCCGAGAGGGAGCACGCTGATTGGAATTTGTCGTTCCACTTTTCTTGGTGAAACGCTCGTGATTCGGCCGCGCGCGCGCGGTGTATCCGGCCGTCACGTACGAAAACGTGACCGCTCGAGCCGAGTGCCGCTGCTGTTTTCGCACGACGTGTGACCACCGCGGGAATACGTGCGGCCAGTCAATTCGCGACTCGATAAATCGCCACGGTGAGCTAATTTCGGGATTACGTTATATAACATCGCGTATATCGGTGTCGCGCGCGCCTCAGAGCACGCGTCGCGAAGGGCACGTCAGCTCGATATCGTAACGCTCTACTTTCCGTAGTGAAATGTTTGCCCCTATCACGAGTTGGATATCCCGAATTAGAATAGCCCGGCTTAATTTCCACAATACTGCGAATCACGCAAAGTAATCCCTTTTAACCCGCACGTCGAACGTCGCTTTGAATAACGTAAGCATTCCACTCTCCCCGGTAATTCTGAGCTTTCCGCTTCTCGTACAGGGCGCGCTCATTGATCCGAAATCGAGGGAGAGTGCGATTGGTTGTAGTTGTGCAAAAAGGAGCCTGCGTTTCGAGAGAAACATCTCATACGTGATTCAAAAAGTATAGATAGCACTGAGGTTCTCCACAATTCGTTCGAAAAAAGTATGGCCAAGCATGGTCCTTTCCCTTCTTCTTAAGAGTCATTGACAAGCTTAACCCTTGAGAAAAACCATGAATAAATAAGCACAACAAACGCAACGAGTAAAAATGGCACAATTGGTGGAAAATAAAAACTGTTTTTTGATTAATCTTAGGCGCCCATAAGATTTGGATCTTTTTGTCTTGCGTATACGGAGAACAATATTTTGCTGGCACAGCGAATTGTTCGTTATTATAGCAACTAACAATTTGTTAGCAAAATATTGTCCTTCATGTAGAAAGACGTATGGACTACCCACATGGAGAAAAGTTCTGCTGGAACAGCGAATTGTTTGTTATAGTGACAGTAAAAAGATTTGTTACGCGGGAAAAGTAACTTTGCTGTTGCAGCGAAACGTCGTTGCAACAGCAAAACAAAAAGAAATTTAGTTGGCGTAACCAAATTGTTTTGCTGCCCATATATCCAGCAAATAGCAATTAATATTGTTAACAAATCTTTCCGCTGTCCAAGCAAATTTTTTTCCCGTCACTGTATCGAAAAACAATTTGCTGTTCCAGCAAAATTCATTTTCCCCGTGCAAGGTGGTAAAGAAAATCTTAAAACTTATGATTTTCATAAGACTCATAATTTCGTGGGGTGGAGCCTACCTGCACAAGTACGGCCAATTTTCTCTTTCGGAGAAAAGAACTTCAGCCCCGCGGTTGTTAATAAGTATACTGATGAAAACCGGCGTACAGCGGAGCACTTCGGAATAGACAAAGAATGGGAGTTCAGAAAGATAACGGCTGTTGCCGCTTGTCACGTATGTGGCAGCCGGCCGGGGGTCTCGCACACCCCGAGGATACCACTGGCGGCAGCAGTAGTTACAGTTGGCATTACGGGGGTGCCTTAACGCGCGAGCGCGCACATGGGTGTAAAACGACACGTCGCGCTCATCCATTAAGCCTTATCGGGACAAGCGCAATTTTCACGCCGCGCCGCGCGAACCCGCGAACTTCGCGATCATAAATCAGCGGGCCGCTCGATATTTGTCGGCTTTGCGAACTTTAAAGTTCATTCAAGGTTATTTTGCCTTACTCGCGGCGAACTCGGCCGCGCGAGGGGGCCGTGAAATACGGGGACTCGAGGCTGTCGCGGCTGATAAGATTTCGCGAGACGCGCCGCGCTAGACGACGGGTTGTACGATCGTCGTTAGGAATGAAAGAGAGAGAGAGAGAGAGAGAGAGGAGGGGGGGGNNNNGGGGGGGGGGAGGGTGAGAAAAAGGAAGGTCGAGGATCGATAGGGTTTTTATCTATGTCGGACGTCGCGACGATGTCCTCGCGGCGGGAAATTTTCTTTCTTGTCGCTTTCCGTTTCTCCGGGGAGAAACGCTTGGCGGGACGGTCGATGCGAACGAAGGCGAGAGAAAGAGAAAAAAAACCTAACGAGCGCGATATTGCTTGTCTGAGCTCCCCTCTTCCCCCTCTGCCGTTGTTCATCAGATGCTATCGCGGCGAATTCCGTCCACACTGTGGCGGACGGAGATAAATATTCAATAATTCTTACCGACGCGCGGTTAGACCGCGACGCGATAGGAACGCGCGTTCGAAAGAGCGAGAGAGAGAGAGAGAGAGAGCTCCTCATTTCCCGTCCCCGCGCTGACCTCCAACTTCGGCGAGTCCTATCGCTATCCCGCTTCGGCTTCTTTTGTAATTCCCGGCGGGTTCTTTAAAGTGACGTCGCGAGTCGCAGATCCGGCAAACGGACGGGCACGGTGGCGTAGGCGTGATTCGCGCGCGCGCTATCGGAATCCCATTTAAGCTCGTTTAACGCTCGACGGTAACACGCTCGAGCGAACGAGCATCCCAGAATCGACTCGGAATCCGCGAAACAAATATTCCGCGCGAGGGTACGAGTATCCCCGCAAGACGAAATGGCTGATCGTCGCTCTCTAATTAAAAGAGAGAACGTCCCGCGGGCGAGCACGGCAACGCGGCGGTAGCCGTCGCGACAAATTGCCGGCGAGCGCGACCCTCGTTTCAAATCGATACGCCACATCGTGTCATTTTCTTGCGTCAAACATCCCCGACCCCACGGCTTTTATCGCCGCTCTAACGTTTATGTTTACCGCGTCGTTTGTCGCGGGCGATGCGCTCGCTTAAAAGGTGCATCGCACGTAAGCGAGGCACGTATTCTCTCCGGCGTCTTATCCCGGCATCGGCCTTCGATAGCCGCGCTTTTACGATCAGGCCAAGATCGACTCTCCGGACGAGCCTGATTGAATCAGTCGCGATATCCCGCGAGCTTCCGTTAAGTACGCCTCTCGCACTTTCCAGTACGCGATTCTATTTTAACGCTTATTGCTCGCTACTTGCCCGCGAACGGGTGACGTCACGCCGCCTAGCCGTAACGGCTAGAGGAGAGCCACATATGACCCACATCAACGACGCGAATACCTTCTCGAGGCGCGTGTCGCGTTTGAATTTCTTCCCAGAGCTGGAAATTATACTCCGGGTTTCGCATTTCTGAACGCTTCCGGCACGTTATGTTCGGACAGCGAGATCTTGAAGTGTGAAAAGCTGAACATTCGGACATCCGGATATTCGAATGTTCGAATATCTGAAACTTCAAGAACTGGGAAGTACGTGTTGTTCGTTTTCGTAGGTAATTTACTGTCTCTATCCTCTCTATTTACCGGCTATCCGTGCAACCTAATACAACTGAAATTTAGTTATCCGAGTTTTTAGCTGTAAAAGTTAATTTTCATACAGCTATGATTATTAGCCGTGCATAGAAAAAAAAGAATTAATTATCTCCCTCAGCTAGAAAGTAGGTCTGGCAGCTAAATTTCATTTGCATTACACGGATAATTAGTTTCTAGCTGTGGGATCTAATTTTTTTCTCCCCCGTATAACGGCAAGGTCGAGAGCGTCGCGTATGCGCGTCGCATTTTTTCCGTAATTTTGACTCAGAAGAAGAAATTCAGAGTATCGACTTACTTTTGCACCGGCAAATATCTAGTCGGGCGTCCAACATCGCGTGAAGTGTTGCCGCAGCCCTTCTCGCGTCGTCCGCGTTCCTACGATGACTTTTGCATCGGAGCACCGAGTGACGTGGGCGTGCGAATGCGCGCGCGTAATCGTCGATCCCGAATTGGGAAGCCATCCCCTGGTAGCGAAAATCGGAAATCGACCGATCGTTGGAAGTTCACGGGGGATATTAGCCAACGCTCGAGGTATCGCGAGAACGCGCGCGACCCGATGAAGCGAGGGATTCGCAGCAGTCGGCTTTGTCCCAAATGAGCGAGGAAGAGGCCTTTTCATTTTGAATGCATCGGGAATCTGGGTCAATGCTGCACCCACCCGCCGTCCGCTTGCCGGCCGCTTTCCACGGATAATCGGAGCAAAGTCACCAACCGTCCGGTTTTCCGCGCGAGTTTCCGGATTTGCGGCTGACGGCTCGACGACGACGACAGCGCGACCGGGGATCGCCGGACGATTCGGTTCAGTGAGCGTCGTCCTCCTTGATTTTACAACAATGCGACGAGAGAAAAGAGAAAATTTGCTTCGTGAGAACTAGAAGTTTCGTTTCTTTCGGCCGAAATGCGTCTGGCTGTTCATTCCCAAGTAGATCCAACCGAACTTATTTTTCAGCGCGACTAGTACGAAGGATAGTCCTGAATAAGCAAGCGAAACTATGTGTGCAAACACATTCGGAACAGAGATCGGTCAGAATTATTACGAGCAGCGGGATACATTTCCTCCCGGGAACGACGCGAAGAGAGAGAAAGTATCGGTGGTGGTCTGCGAATGCAAGCGTACACACACGATGGCATCGCGGTCGCTCGCGGCCGAATAACGGAAAGGGACTTTGTGCCTTTGCTACAACTCGGTGGTTTTTAAAAGGGCCTCTGAGCTCTGCTCGGTATCTCTCGAAAGCGCGCGCGCGCGCAAACCTTTCCTCCACATTCTTCAGCACAGCGGAGTTAACCCGTGTGTGCGGCGCCGATCTGACGCGCGCGTTCGGCCTCACATGTTAAGCGAACGGGGCGCGCGGGGAAAACAGTTTTGCTGGAATAGTAAATTGTTTGTTAATATAGCGACATCGAAAGGAATTTCTTCGGACAGCAGAGAGATTTGTCGAGAATATTAATTGCTATTTGCCGGATGTACGAACGGCAGGATAACTTGGCTGCGCCAATTGAATTTCATTGCTGTCGCAACGACGTCTTGCTGCGACGGCAACGTCATTTCTTCCAGGTTCCAAGAAATATCTTCGCCGTCACTATGTTAACAAACAACTTGCCGCTCCAGCAAAACTTGTCTTCTCCATGTGATTTTACCAGAGCTTTGTTCACTCTTCGATTTATGCGTTCTTCGTTTGCAGGGCGAAGAGGATGAACCTCCGGAGGCCTTGGACATGGGCTGGCCTAGCAGCCCGAGGAAAAGGTTAACCTACATCTTGGTCGCGCCAATCTTATTTCCCCTTTGGTTGACGTTACCGGATACGAGAACACCCAGAGGTAATCGTCGATCAATCATCTTTTCACACTCTTCTGGTTTGAAACGCAACAAATTGTTCCCTTCTTACTCAGCCGCACGCCTTTCTTGACTTGAACGGTGTCGTTTTACCTTGATCTCTCGGTCTCGCGATGGCAAAGTGAAATAATTCGGTATTTTAGATACTTTCCCCTTCTTTCTCTCGCGGAGAATTATACTTTGAAACGAAGGCAAAGGTTATAACGAGCTCAAGAAGAGAGAGGGAGAGAGAGAGGTCGGGCTGAATAAAATTCTTCGCGTTTTCGCTCGTTCGACAGATGGAGACTGTGTATTTGCACTAACACTTCGTTCGATAGCCCGTCTGCCTTCGATGTCTTCACTGTTGACTGTTCCGACAGCGATATTAGATTCTCGTCTATCGATAAGTAATCGGTCCCGAAAGGAGAGAAGAGGCCGACGAGAGCTGCGACAAAATCAAAAGTAGGACCTTTGTTAAGCGCGAGGACGATTGAGCGATCTGATTTACATCTCTTGCGTCCGTCGCGAGAGATCCGAACCTCCTTCCGCCTGAGAAGTCAATTGGGATATTTACGAAATGAATACGTAAACCTTTGAGAGCGGAAAGGGACGTCCTAATATATTGAAAGATAGATAGAACGAAGGGGACGAGGCGGAGCGAGGGGGAGATGGAGCACTTAATCGGTAAATATATTTAACTTCGTTCCGAATCAACATTTATTATTTAAGTAATGAAATAAACGTGCGGAAACGTAATTTTGCTCGATAAATATGAAATTTATGAGCGGGGACCCTCTTGACGCGCCATTGAATATGCGACACTAATGGGCGATTCATCCTTAATGCCTCTTCCCATCGTGTCGCTCTTTATCCTTCCGAGTGAAATAGCGCCGTTAGGAGGCGGTGCGGAAGTACGACGGGATAATTTCTGGTCCAATTTTCTTGTAATAACTCGTTGCCCGTGCCGTTCGCTCTTCCGTCGCGAATAAATAGTCGTGACCGGTGGCGAATAATCGAAGAACGATGTATATACGAGCGCGCGTTTGTTGTTTTTTCTGCTGCGCGTCGCGCTCGAGAGCGCGATAAATCGCAAGGTGAAATGAATTCTCGATCCTCCCAACGGATGATTGCCCGAGGATCACGACTCGTTAGGGCTCGAGAATTTCTCACGCTACGTAAACTATCCGGCATCGGATTTTGTATACTCGATTACACGCAAATTGTATATCTAACGTCTCGCTTTCTCCGCCCGTCGAAGCGTAAATGACGATTTATCGCTCGCCGGAAATATTAACTGGCGGAGGAAAGGAGGCACGGAGAAGCGTTCCGAATGTGCCATTAATTACAACGCAGACTCTCTCCCTCCCCCCTTGCTCCCTTCAAACGGATATGTATTTGTTTCTTTTTTCTTTCTTTTTTTTTTTCAAACCGCTGAAACTCGCCTGAGGGTCGGATTAAATCCTATCAATCAGCGGAGACGTCGCGTAGCGCTCTCGCTTGCCTCGTATCGATCCCCGGGGTAATATCGGTGTAACTCTCCGGCGGAAACGCGGGATTCCGATCTATCGATCTCTCGTCGTCGAAGCCTCGCCGGGTAGGCTCGAGATGGCAAATTTGTCGTATCAATAAGGCGGGTCGCATCAAATGGCATTCATAATTACGATCCCGCGTGAGTTCGCCCTCTGCCAGCTCACGTGTGTCTGTTTTTCTCTCTCTCTCTCTCTCTTTTCCCACTTTTTTTTTCACTGATTACGCGGTCGATGTGTGTATTAACCCTTTGCACTCGAGGGCTCCGGAGCGGAGCCATTTAAAATTTGTCTTCAAACTCGAGGGCTCCGCTATGGAGACAATGCAAATAACTTTCAGTTCATAACATAAGGACAAAGACAAATCGTAAAAACTATTAGGATATTCCGCTCTTGCTATTTGCATTTGAATTTGAAGAGTTTGAAGACAAATTTCAAATGACTCCGCTCCGGAGCCCTCGAGTGCAAAGGGTTAACTTTTGCGGATGCAAAACTTCGTCGAAGATGCGCGACATGGGAAGCAGGACGAGCCGTTCTCGAGAGAGCCTCCTCGGGAGAATGTCGCGAAGGTTTGCTCCCGCGAAGGATGTGACCGACGCACTCAATCGGGTCGCGCGTCGTTATCGGGTGGGAACGGACGAGTTTCTGTTTAATAATAAATGTTATTATATATTTATATGTATATATATATATAAAGACATGCGCGAACGGCGCCGTTATTCGCGCTGCTATTTCGCGTTGCCGCTCGCCGCAGCTTCCATCAATCACGCGCGCACTGCATTATCTCAGCCTATTAAACATGCCTCTATTGCGACGCCACAATGCCATTGCCGACGAAAGATGATATTGACACGCTAATTTCGCATTGGGGACTGATTGTTGCGCGCACGTACGAATGCAATAGATTGCGGCACGCGCGCGCACCACGCCGATTCCATTGTCGACTAAAATTCCGATATGTCCTTTGAATCTCGGCAATCTCTGCCTTTGATTACCGATCTATTAACATAGCCGTTGGCACGATCAATTAATGCGAGGTCGCGCGCGCGTCGCGAAACGCACGGACGAACCTGTCGACTCGCCTCCGCCAATGCGGCGTCCGTTTGTTCTCGAATTATTGCTGCGCGTTGAAAAATTTGTGTAAGAGAGAATAAATGATGGTCGTTTGTTTTTCCTCCTTTTTTTCCCTCCTTTTTTATTTGTTTTTCTATACACTGGCAAATGTCCCCGATTCTCCAAGTGACTCTCTCTCACCTCCGAATTTGTTCCCAAATTACACGCGATACGATCAGTTCCGCTGCCGATATTAAAATATCGCGTTCGCGAAAATCAATGGATCTCCCTCTCTCTCTCTCTCTCTTTTTTTTTTATTTCGAAAACACGACGAGCGCGAATATATTTTTCACACCGAATTAAAATTTACTTCCGTCCCTCCTCCTCCTCCGCCTCTCGGATAAACACGGCGGTGGGATAATTAAAACTGCGCCCGGGCTGAAATTTGATTAATCTCGCTTAAATTAAGCAAATTAGTCGTCGCGCAGCGTCTCCGTTGCATAATAATTGCATTTATTCCGATTAAAAGATACTGATACGGGAGGAACGAATCGGCGAGGGAAACTTTCGTTTTGTTTTTCCAGCCGGCGAAGTCGGCCGCGCGATCGTAATAATTGGCGGGGGATGGGTTCCGCAAACGGCGTGGCGATCGGTCGGGCGCATTTAGCATACTTAAACTACTCCCGTTAATGGGAACTACAGCCAGCTACACCGACGTAGAGAGCGTTGGCGCCAAAGTGGGCCCGACTGCGGCATAATTCCGCTCCGGAGGAACAGCCCTGTCGCGGAAAAGAGGAAAAGGGAGGAAGCGAGAGCGATACGACGACTTTTCGCGCACCGACCGTCCCGACGATTCCCACGGGTGAGATTAACCGCGCGTGGATACCCAACGTCGCGATACCCGATATCGGTGTCAGCGAGTTTACGCGGCACGATTAATAAATCGCGCGTGTCCTCCATGAGGATGCGCACGGTGTGTACGCGTGTATATGCGGGGGAGACCGAGTCTAGATAGCCCCAGGGGGTATATTGCTATCGTGTGCTTTTTTTTTTTAGTATGTATCTTGAGGGGAACAGCGGGTACAAATTCGTGAAATGATCCTTTTGGAACGCGCAGTCCCCGGCCATTATTAGACGCTCCTTAATTCTGTACAATTCATCGACTCCCGAGGATCAACTTTGTAATACGGCTTATCTATCGGTCGAATTATGTTAAGGAACTGTTATATTATTCTATAAAAGGTATTTTTTATGAAGTCATTAAAATCAGAATAATATTACAGTTGAAAAGAAAAAAATCAAGGAAAAAGCTGATTCATAGCAGTAGCAAAGTAAATTTTGTCTGAGAAGTTGTGTGACGTCAAAATTCTAAAATACGCGGCCCCAATCTTCCCTATGTGTGTAACACAGATGCCGCGCATCCGTTTTAATTTCAGGGAAGAAGTTCTTCCCGGTGACGTTCATCGGCTCGATCTTCTGGATCGCGGCGTACTCGTATCTGATGGTCTGGTGGGCGAACGTCGCCGGCGATACGGTGGCTATACCGCCGGAGGTGATGGGCCTGACGTTCCTCGCAGCGGGCACCAGCATACCGGACCTCATCACGAGCGTGATCGTCGCGAGGAAGGGATACGGCGATATGGCGGTGTCGAGTTCTGTCGGCAGCAACATCTTCGACGTAACCGTTGGGTGAGCATCATCATCGTCCTGACTTCCCGACCTCTCCCGACGATCGAGACGCGGTGTCTCGCGATGTATCACCGCGCGATACTACAGGCTATTCTCTCTCTCTCTCTCTCGCTTCTGTATGTTTCCGGAGATATCCCGGAAGACGGTCGACGTTCGACACACTTGTTTAATATAGAGATATCGGTATATTTCATTTCGCTCTCGCGACGCGCTTTATTACGTTTATCGAATGCTATTGAACGGAGGGCACTTCGCGAACACTCGAGACACTGCGTCACCTCACTTTGCTCGTATGAATATTACAGTCTCTCTTTCTTATTCGCTGCAAAAATTCCCTTTTCCCCTTCTATTTTCTTTCCATTTTTTTACGATCCGCTGAGAATATAAAAATTCTTATCCACTCTCGTCACACGAAAAGCCAGAGCTGAGAAATATCCCGAGTTGCCGGTGAAGAGTGATCCCTGGGAAGTAATATTTTATTAGTATAATATTGCATTAGCGAGAGCGAGAGAGAGAGAGAGAGAGAGGGAGAGAGAGAAGGAGATGTATTAAAAGAAGAGTGAAAGATAAGTACTGTCGAGGAATCGTACTCTCACAGTTGCCACTTTGTGCCACACGATACCATGTTGCAACAACGTGTATACGTCATCTCGTTGATCTTATACGTGAATAGAGTTCCGCGATACACCTCGATACGTACGAAATGGGATTGCTAGACTCCATATAAATAAGAAATATGGAAAAAAAGAAATATAAGAGAGAGAGAGAGAGAGAGAAAGAGCATCTCTTATAGAAAGCGCAGAAGGTCATATTGATTTCTCTTAGGCAGGATTATCTCGAACCTCGTAAATACAAATGAGAAAAAAAATTAGATTCTACAAAACATAGATTATTGTGCGTGAACCAAATGATGTAGATAACAGAGCGAGTACCGTGGTGTGAGCTCGCGGCACAGATCGCAGACATTCGCCAGATACTTACACGAGGATCTTTGAATCATTTTTCTCCGCTCTCGTCGAAATCACGCTAATGTGCGAAGCTTCAGTCGCGCGACTGAGAAATTTAATACGCCCCCGCGAAGGCAGACGTTGTTTTCTTTATTTTTGATCCCGCACTCATTTACGTCACGTTATTGAGGGATCGATTAACGGGGAGGGCTAAGTGCCAAAGAGACCGAGAGGAGCTTATTCGGCAAGCGATATCAATCTCGGATTTCGGCAACGTTGATCACTCAGGCGGAACGAGCGAAGAAACAGGGTTTTCAGGGCGATGTTTCGCATCGAGTGAGAAAATACTATCGGTCGATTTACGTCTCATTTAACGCTCTATATTATTATTATTATTATTATTATTATTAACGTAACGTTCGACGGGATCGTTGTAACCGAAAAGTAATCAGCAGCGACATTCTCTTATCGAGTCTCTTTGAGCTTCGGCTTAGGGGCCATTTAACAATTATGTCGTACTACGAGGGGATGAAGGAGGGGGTCTATTAGCTCGCGTGACGACCTGTGATGGCAGGGAGGGAAGAGTAAAGGCCATGGAATGTCATCATTAGATGGCATCATTTGTAAATATGGATGCGCGTGGTTATCCACTTTGTTTGCACTCGTAACACATTTGGTAACGTTTGGTGAAATTGTTCAAGTTTCGACATGATGTTTTACGTTAATAACCAAAATGTTGATTTTTAAATATTTATTTTTCCGAAAACACAACTTTAACTAATTAAAATTATAAAATAAATTAATTTGATATCGTATGCCTAAAAGTTATTTGTATTTTAGAAAGAGCAGCGTGCGATCTAATAACGCAGATTTGAAAAATTTACTTTTCTTCTGCGATCTGAGAAAAAAGTTTCCCATAGTTTTTTGTGCGCCGAATACAAATCCGCAAGGAAAAATGCTCTATCAAGACAAGTATTATCAAAAAATTGCGATTGAAACGCCCCAAAAACGCGTTTTTGACTATTTTGGAAAATTTATAGCTGACGAATTCCGGTGCAAAAGATTTCGAAAAGGACTTATATTCGAAGTTTAAAAAATCCCTTAAAACACACAGTTTTTGTGGGAAGCTTCGACCCTATTTTTCTCGTAAACTTAACGTGATAGAACACTTTTACTTGCAAATTCGGATTCGGCGCACAAAAAATGATAAAAAACAGTTTTTGTTTTCCAAACCCCAAAATTATGCAGAGACCTATGTAATTATTATCCATAATGTGGTTATAAGCTATTTTTTTATTCTATGTGTTAGTGCAGAAGGAAAGGATAATCCCGCGTGTAATATCGGAAGAGGGCGAATACCTGTGACGAAATTGTGGCGGAAAGGGAGGATAAAAAAATATATACCAAATTTAATGTGACGTAAGTTATTGAATGGTCCTTTATCCGAAAATTCAGCCGATGAGTTAATATCGTTAATATCATTGATAAAGCACACAATCACCGTTTTTCGTCATTTTCTATTTGCTCCCTCATTTCCGTCCACCAAATACGAGACGCGCGCGCACTCGAGTTCATCGCGATACTCCGCTTGTATTACCAGTGGAAGAAACGATGCCATTATTATTCATATTGTGCACTCCGGGATTGTATGCGCGGCCAATGGTTGGCACAGTTATATCGATGTTATGCTGAATGGAACCGTACTTAGCTCATCTCCAAATATGCATTCGCTTCGAAGATACATTCGCACGCGCGCGATTCGCATCATTAGACGCGTAATTGGATGCTACCTGTTAATGCGTCGATATTGCGAGGCAATATCTCGGAAGCAGACGAAGTTCAAAATGCTCTCGACGTTCCCGAAAGGCAGAGTCCGTTAATGGCAGGGAGAGAGAGAGAGAGTGAGAGGGGGGGGGGGGGGNGGTGAGGGGGGGAGGGCACTTGTTTTCCCATTGTCGCGTTATTACCTCCATTCCTTTATGTTTTGCGACGGCACAAATCGAAACAGCACGATGAGCATCCGGAGAAGGATACGATACCATTTGGTCAGACGCGAAATATTATTTCATAATCCTTGCACTTGCAACGGTATCGCGAGCATCATCGGGGAACTTTGCCGATGCTATTCGGACGATGTCAGCATCGCCGGTCGGAATCCTCAGAAAACGGAAATTGATAGGCGGCAGAAACGATTACGGCTCGTAAGATATCAACGGCACAGTGAAGCTCAATAGACGAGTCGAATAATATCGGAACAATATTGGGCTCTCTCGCGTGTGCGCGAACACAATGCATTTAATTGTGTAGTACATATATACATACGGGATCCGTATTGTACTAACGTCACATACTCATATATATATATATATATACAACAGACCTTAATAAAATACCTTTTATAGAATGTCTATTCTGACATATATGTGACGTATGTTGACGTTAATATAATATGAATATATACGTATATATATATATGAATGTGCGCATACAGGATGTCCAAAAGTTCCCGCATGCAGAGTGTACAGGGAAATTCTTCGTATCAAAAGAAGTAAGTTTTTCCTCAGCGAAAATGTCGAGAAAGGTCATTTTATAGACTTTTCAATTTTCAATATAACACATCTTTGAAGCTAAAGCTAAGCCTTAAAATTCTGTTTAAATAAAGTCTACTTGAAATTAACCAAGGAAGATAATTTTGCTACTCATTTGTTCGTCCGAAGCTCGCAAGAACCCTCATTTTTGTCAATTACTTGCTTCTCGGATACTCGTTGTTCGAACGCAACGGCGAAGGAGAAAGTTACTTCTTTCAGTATCGAAAATCTGCCGGTATACACCCCATATGCAAGAATTACGGGGCACCCTGTATGTACGCGCATACGTGTGCTCTTTCTCATAACGTACGCTCGCGCATGCGATACGAATCGGAATTCTGCCGACGGTTGAGATCGGACGAGGGCGGAGGAGGCGTGCGGTAGCCTGGACCGGGCCGTCAAGGAATTCTCGCTATTTCACTGTAATCGCATTCGCTATTCGTTTCCCCGGCATTATTATATTGTTGGCGCGGGAAATACCGCGAATACTGTTCCGGGCTTACTCTCTCGCCGCGCGGAAAAGGTCTCGAGGATCTGGCCGTTCGGGAGCCGCCGCCCCCGAACCGACGCGTTTGATAAAAATGCGCAATCGTGCGGCATCGCCGATCAACGATCGGCTGCCAACTGGCAGGTTGCCTGGCAAGGAAGCCGAGAAATATTTTTCCGTGTGTTTGTGCGCATTAGGCTCGCAACTGCCACGTCAAAGGATACATGGTGTATCTAAGGCACGTCGACGGCATTGTTACGGGCAAACGCATAAATTATTGATATCATACTTCATATATATATATATATATATATATATATATAT